CTTCCAGCACCTTGTCGAATCTATGCCACGAAGAATTGAGGCAGTTCTGAAGGCAAAAGGGGGTCCAACCCGTTACTAGCATGGGGTACCTAATAAAGTGGCTGGTGAGTGTAGTTGCTTAAAACTATTCCTTTGAACTTTCCATTGAACAGTTAAACACATAAGTGGCGTCAACTGTAAGATACAGACTCCCTCTCCTGAGAATGAGGTCGACTTTTGAAAGTTGCGATTATACTTATTTTGGCTAATAAGGCTAAATTTCATTGGTTTCCCCTAGTAAAATTATAGTTAGGGTAAAAACACTGCCAAATTAGGTCGGTTTAGCCAAAAGATTGTTTGAACACAACTTCCAACCCAATTAAAACTAAAAAATTTGGAAAAACTATGTTTGAATAAAAACACCTTTCATTTTGCTCATCATTGCACAATTTGCACTAACACTCTCACTGACTGCTTCAGTTTATTTCACTAAATTGGCAGAAAAACAGTGCACCTTAAAAGATTATTTTAAAAAACTGTACACTTAATTTTTTTTTTATAGATTTTATCATACACACCAACCATTAACAATTTCAAAGGAACTTAAAAGCTGAAAAAAAAAAAAAAAAATCAGATTTTATTACAAACTGTAGTTCTGCACTCAACCAGAAGGTGGCGACATGTTCACATGGAGCCTCATGAACTGTTGGGATCGCTGAAGCAATTTGGCCAAATGGTTCAAAGCCTCATGAGGCTTCATCTCACCATCACTAGTGTGATGTCTTCTAGAAACTTACCCATGCTGTACAAATCCTCATCAGTGATTCCATCCAGGAAATCCCTCTCATCTTTCACACCCATTTGCAGAAACTGGTTGTAGTAGGACTCCAGTCTGTATTGCTGGAGCAAATTAAATATCCCAGCCATCTGTTAAAAAAAAGGTAACTTTTCCAAGTTTTAACTGTTTGAAAGAAAAAAAAAAAACAGAGCACCATCAACAGAAACAGCTTAATTATTTAAACAGCTATTAAATTGACTTACTACTTTTTGTACCAAATTAAAATGAAAAAAAAGTGACCGGAAGGCACATGTTGGGTAATGCTAGCAACCCAGCTACGTCGAAGCTGATCCTGTTTAAAACGGACTGAAATAAATAAATTAAAAGATTCCCTATTTCTGTTACAAAAAATGTTTATGTTAAACATCAAGTATAGCTTTTAGCATAGTTAAATTGTTCTCGTGGTAAATTCCTACAAGTACTAGTTAGCATCACTTCTGCTGGTTAGCTTTTAGCATAGTTAAATTGTTCTCGTGGTAAATTCCTACAAGTACTAGTTAGCATCACTTCTGCTGGTTAGCGGTTAGCATAGTTAAATTGTTCTCGTGGTAAATTCCTACAAGTACTAGTTAGCATCAC